AAAAAATATAACATAAAGTCGATCGAAAATTGAAAATATACTTCGCATTGAATAACTATGTAATTGTTGGTATCAATAAATTAAAAAGGATCTTCGTCTTGTTAGTTAAACTGAACAAATATACATAAAATACATACATTAGAATTTGTCAGAAAAATAAAAACTTATACTATGGTTGGTGACAAATGAAATTATACTTCGCAATGTCAAGATATCTAACTGTTGGTAGCAATAATTAAAGATCTTCGTCTTGTTAGTAAAATTGTGTAACAAAAGAACGTCGGTATATGATTATACATTGATGTCCAGAACAAAATGCATTACAGCTATAAATATAATAATAAGATTATAAAAAAGTAAGATTATAAAAATGATAAAAAAATATAATCTGATGAGTCAATACAGTATTACAGTATATATGAAGAAGACACTAATAAAATTTTATGTCTTTAGTAAACGAATAGTCATATTCATCCGTCTATAACATCTTGACTCATACAGTACCATAAATATTTAAAAGTTGACTCTCTACACTTGTATATGACCCAATAGATAAATGTAAACCTTAAATAGTTTAAATCTTTGAGTGTCATTTTTAAAATTATAAGAGTCGCTTAAGTGTTAGTCTATATGATTGAATATTAACGCTGAAATGTTGAATGCCGCAGATTTATTTGAAAGTCGTATATTTTAACTATACGTTAAACATCTTTTTGATAATATGATCTATTGATTAGATATGTCGCAGTTATACATTCATTAAGGAAGGATCTCAATTGAACACAGCTCGATTGGGCACGCTTAATTGTATTGTTGCACATGGGTTTCAACTTTCCACACAAAGCGACTTTCACTCCATCTCTGCCCCTGCTAAGGGACGCACGACTTCTATAAATGTACTATTGAACTTGGATTTTGACTTTCCACGCGAAGCGACTTTCACCCCCTCCCTGCGAAGGAACGTATGACTTCTATAATTGTACTAAATATGGATTTCGACTTTTTATGCGAAGCGACTTTCACCTTACATCCTCCTCTGCCAAGATATCCAATTGATCGATGCCCAATCGATTGGTATCTTATCCATAAAAGGAAGAACAAACGGCAATAGAGAAAATATGTGCTCAGATGTTCATGCTGGAATATTCAGTCTTGTAACGGCAGAGACCAAGAAATAATTCTAGAACTGGAAAGACACAAAATATACATCTGTGCAGTATCGAAAATAAAACGGAAAGAAAAGGGAAACAGGAGATATATCTAAGCTATATATTCTACTACTGTGGTGAGGATAAACATGAAAGGACAACTTCGGGAGTGAAAATATTCATCCACAACAAATATAAACGAAACATCAAAGAAACACATTATATTAATAAAAAAATGGTGAGAGTAGCCCTATATTTTGAAGAGGGAAGACTACACATCATAAACGTACCCGATGTAGAAAAACCCAAAGAAGAGACAATGATATTCTACGAACAACTATAACAAGAAATTGACAAAATATCAAAGGATGAGATGCTATTGACACTGGGATACTTAAATATCCGCATTGGTAACGCATTGGTAAGAGGTAGTAGAGTTGTAAAACAATGCTTTAATAAATTGACGCTAAATTAGAACAAAGAAACATTAATTGCTTTTTGTGCGGAGAATGAACTCCAAACAAATAACACATACTTCAATCATAAACCCCTGTACAAAACTACTTGGTCCAATTCAAGAGACCAAACGTTCTCAATAGACTACACTATATCGAACAGAACAATACACTCATCCCAAATTCAGAATCTGAGAACCTTGACATCGGCGAACATAGGATTTGATCTTGGACTGATATTATGCAAAATTCGTCTCTAGCAATACAGTGAAAAAAGAAAATACAAGAGGAATACATAGAAAAAGTCAACATTAAAATAACAAAGAATGAGAGCATACGAGACTTGTATGTGAGACGACTACAGATGAAAATCAAAGAAAACGAAATCCAAAGATGACAGTGAAACATGTTAAAAGAAAGTAAAAGACAATATAGTAATGGCGTCAGAGGAAACTCTAGGCAAGAGAAAAGTAAACAAGAATGCACCTAAATAAATGAAATATTAAAAAGAAAAAAGGAAAGCTTATTTTCCTCATTTCAATACCTCAACAACAGAACAGTACTAGAGTACGAAGAGTATAGAAAAGTTAGGAATAGAATAAATGCTAGAGTGAATTAAAAATGGAATACTCGACAAACCTCACGTGAGATATGGAAAGAGACCTATACGAGACTCAGAAGATAATATGGGGAGTATTAAGATGACGGAAACAAGAAATAAATGAATTCACACATGCATAAGTAAACATCAGCGATACCTGGATATTTCCGAAACTTACCAGAAAATCCAAAGCGCAATAAAACAGATCCCACGATTACAAAGGGGATTATCCATAATAGACACACGACTGGTAAAAGAAACGATCAAAAAGTTAAAAAATAGGAAGTCATCAGGCCTAAACAAAATAGCCAACAAACTGATTAAGTATAGTAGACAAGAATTAGTTAAACAACTCACAATTTTCTTCCAAAAGATCTTTAACAACGGAACAACCTCCAAGGAATGGAAATAAAGTATAACCATCCCGATTTTTAAAAAAGGTGACAAGAAAAACCTAGAAAATTACAGAGGAATCGTGCTGCTGAGCAGTGTCATAAAATTATTTACCCAAATTATTGAATCGATCTTTTTGAAACGCATCAGAATCAGTGAGGAACAACAAGGATTCAGAAAGGACAAATCCACCACCCACGCTATATTTATGATAAGGCAATTAGTAGAAAAGGCAATGAAATTTAAATCAATAGTTATGTATTTCATTGATTTGACCAAAGCCTATGACAGGATCAAACTGAAGGACGTAATAGAAACACTCAAAGAAGAAAACATTTCAGAAGATATAGTCCATATAATCAAAAAACTAAACACAAACACGACTATGCATATACTCGTATTAGTGAATAATAGTCTGAAAAGAGGTATCAAACTCAACAGGAATCAGACAGAGAGACTCATTCAGTTTACTCCTCTTCAGCATTATTATGGACAGGATAATATCAGACATAAAGAAAACAGATCGAGGATACAGACTGGACAAGGAATCATTGAAAATAATGTGTTATGCTGATGACGCTATAATTGTGGCAAAAGAGGAGGACGATCTACAAAGGATGCTGCACAGTTTTCACATTTCAGCAGCACGATTTAACATGGAAATATCTGTACAGAAGACAAAATTCCTAGTTGCAGCAAGAGCCAATCCATTGCAAACTAGTAATGGATGATCAGACGACAAGTCATGTCCTTCAGGTACCTAGGCGTGGAGTTAACATCAAGCTAAGATAGAAGAGAAATGGTGGGAGATCAAATGCGGTAAGAATAGCCGGATGCCTGATATGATATGGAACAATAGATTCATGAGCATGATACAGCAGATATAAAGTACGAATATATAAATCTTGGGTCCGTTCAATATTGACATACGCGACAAAAACTCATGCAAAAATATCCAAAACCAGGACGAATCTCAGAACCGCAAAGATGCGGATACTAAGGAGAATAGCCGGACTCACATTGACATATAAGGTACAGTTTGCATAATTAATGCCTTCCAATTCTGTTTTGATATTGCGTGTTATCGGTTATTTTTACGTTACATAGCCAAAATACGCTAGTTTTTTCAATTTCTATAGACTGATCCGATCCGTTCGATTACAGCTATGAACGTACAAATGACCAAAAAGGTAAACGCAATGCCTCAACAGTGGACATAATATCATAGGGTTGGAAGGCATTAATTGCGCGAACTGTATCAAGCAGAGAAATTAGGGAGAGATACGAAACGCAATATACGAGTATGGTTTGTATTCAAGTTCCATACAACTAAAACGCTAATTGGAAATAATATTATTTATTGCGCTTTATAAATAAATATCAAACAAACATTCCATCAACACAAACGACTTTTATATTATGTATTATTTTACACATTAAGTTCAAGTTTTCTATTGGTAACTTATTGCACCTTTAAGGAAACTCCTACAGCACGAAATATTGTAGCAATATTTTAATATTGCATAACATTTAAAAAATTGCAGCAGGATTGCTGCAACATTTAAATCTTAATATCTTATTGCAACAATATTGCAAAATATTATTGCAATATTGCAATTCAGCAAATAAGTACGTGTCTCGCCGCGTTTTCTCTTTACGAAAAGATTATACGCCTCTTATAAGAAGAAAACGTCCAAGAGTCCTATAAAAAGGAATACGCAAATAGAATTAACGAATCTCCTGAAGATTTCCAACCTTTTTTGAATGTGCTTTCTAGGCCCCCGAATATTTTTTGATTATGACTTTATTGTATGCATTTTGAAATATAATGCTAAACACAATAATATGTTAGCAATTAATAAAATTAGAATAATTATTGAAATATAGCAATATATATGAAATATTTCTTTAAATATTGCAGCAATATTTTATTTTTGCAAATATAGGATTATTGTTGCAGCAATGTTTTATGAAATATTGTAATCTTTCAAAATTGTTGAAATATTTTGTGCTGTAGGGGAAGATTTATGCCTGAACACAACTTTTTTTTTATTATTTCTTTTTTTTCACGTTTTGATTTTTTTAGAATAAAAGAATAATAAATTTCAAGCCAGCCTTAAAATTTCATTTTATTTTCTAGAAATTTGCCGAAATACAATACATAAAATTCCAGTATAATTTCAGCATAATTTAGTATCTAAAAATATTCAAAGACTGGACACTATGGTATTGCAAGTAATTTATGTACTGCAGAAATATATTGATTCTAGAATATTACATTTTAATATAACCCGGGCAAAGTTTTTTTCTACACTATAATCCGTAATTGACCACTTTAATTACTTTTAGTCCATCTTATGTATCTCGCATAATGAAATACTTTGCTAATTGCATTTATTTCGTATCCGTTTTTTTAGAAGAAGGATGTAATTCGATACTTTTTTATGAAGTTGGTATATATATTTTTCTTTTTTAAAATGGTTAATACATTTTTTTTCCTTAGTATACATAGCGTGCATAATTGTGCCTTTTTTCTTATACCTGCATGTTTCCGGAAATTGTTTCCCGCTCACTCAATATTTCATGAAGTGGTCGCGTTCCCATCGTATTCCTTAAGGTCGTTTGAGCCAGTAACCTCGTACTATGATGCGCATTCTCCACATTTGCAATCGAAATGGTCGCGTTATTAACACGGTAATAAACTACTGCATCAACAGATACCGTAACGCTATCCTTTGTCAAAACCTAATATAAATAGATAATTATATTAGATAAATAGATAATTATATATA